ACAGTAAAGATTTAAAAATAATAAAAGAAACGTACCCATTGTGACCATTGGTTAGTATTGGTCAACTCACCTCGTTGTGCTGTTGATGTTGAACAGTTTGCCAGCATAATACCTTGGCCTCAGAGTGAGTCCAGTGTTGTATGAAGTAGATAGAATGACTTTCAAAAATCAGATTTTTTTTCCTGCTGGGACATCTCTGATCCCAGATGTTAGGGAAGCACTGCAGAAGGGTAGGTACAAAGGGAGCTACAGAGTTGAAGTCTTTCGTGCTGAGCACCACCTCATTTTTTCTGCTGGCAAATGGGAGTGGTGAGCAGAGGTATCTACCTTCTGTTCTGAATTCCCAGCCCCCACACGGGTCGGCCTCCCAGGACTCTGGAGAATCTGCATCCTCTACCCCAATCCTCTTCTCCCACATTACCTCCCAGCAACCAACAGTTCACATGACCCAGAACCAGAGTGCAACCAATCCAACCACTAATAGGAGGGAGATGTCATCCACTTGCCACTTTAAATCAATATGTATGTGGTTAACTAAGAGCCCCAGGCAACTCAAGCCCAGGAACGGGAAGAGCCCAGAGATTAGCAGAGCATGTATTTTTCATACTGACCAGTAGATGGCGCTGTATTGCAACTAAAGACATTTTGTCTGGGAGCCAGGACCTGGCCCCTGGCAGACCTGCCACTGAATTGATTTCTAAAGTAGCTTCACTACCACTTAGACAAGAACACATCTAGAACAGCATGATCCACAGCAGGCTTGCTCTTTCTTCCGTGCCTAGGATCCTAGCCAAGCCAGCAGGCCAATGAACGGTCTTAGCATTCTACTGATTTATATGGATATTATGAGTTGGAACTATGTCAAACGTTGACATTTAAATTCAAAAGTGAGCACTGAATATTGATTGCCTTGCTTTCCAATGACTTTGTGCAATTAAAAATGTTTGTTGGCTCCCACAGGCCCTGTCTGCCCAGCTGACAGTTTTAAAAACAAGAGAGGAATTGGGTGCTTTTTAATAGCTCTTAAAACGCTGAGGTCAGACCAAGTCTGGGCTAAAGCAGTAGCTACCTCATAATCTTTCCTCCCTCATTTCTCAAAAAGAAACTTTTTCCCATGTACTTATTTCCAAAAAAGACACAACACAATTTACAGACTGGTTCTGTCTCTCCCATGAAAGTGTGAGATATTAAAGAAATTAAAGAGGAACCTTTTGCCTAAACTGCGCACAAAATTGTGGAGAGGCTGGTAGATTGGAGCAGGGGGTACTATGTGCTCTTTGCATAATGGCTCCCTTGATGAATGCACAAAGCCACTCTGAGAAATAAGCATTTATCCAGAAGTCAACAGACATACTGCACTCCACAATAGCATGTATCTTGAGCCACTGTGACTCCAGTTTCACCGTGCAGGGGGTGACGAGGTAAGAAAGGGAAATCGATTAGCCACTCTCCACCTATCCAGTGCTCAAGGCGGCCTCCTAACTATAAAATATAACCACGCTGTGCTTCGGCCCATGGGTCAAGCTGTTACTTCCACGCTCCTTTACCTCCTTCCGCCTCTCACTCAAAAGTCTCGGATGCCAGTGTCCTTGCAAAACTCTGCCTTCCGTCAGAAGAGACCTGGAAACCCAGTGCTTTCTCCAAGGGTGGAGTCTGAGCTCACGTTCCTGCTCCAATTTCAGACCAGTTCGTGGGCGCTTTAGCAACGATGAACTCCATCCGTGGAGTTTGGGGAAAGGGAGTTTTAACTACTTTGTTGGCAAAGTTTGGACAGTCACTCCTTCAGAAATCTTTCGTTTTTATGCTTGAAACTTGGAACTTCCCTTTTGTTTACCAATTTTCACAAGAATGAGTTGGATTCCTTTGGGAATTCTTCTTAATTGGTCATGGCCAACTGTGTGGCAAAAAGAAAAAAACGAATACCTACCAAATGCTCACCATTTGCTCCCGTACACATCCAGGATCCCAGAAGTTAGGCAGGGATGTGCAACTGGTTCAGACAATGCAATGTGACAAGTGTCACTTCTGGGCTGAGAAAGAGAAAAGGCCTTTGCCTTCTCTGGGCTCTTTCTTTCCTTGCTCAGCAAAGATGACCAACCCTGAAGGTTCCAGATGGTGCAGCTTCAAGATAGTAGAACCTCACCCGAGCTGGTTTGGCTCAGTGCATAGAGTGTCGCCCTGCGGACCAAAGGGTCCCAGGTTCAATTCCAGACAAGGGCATGTACCTCAGTTGCAGGCTCCTCCCTGGCCCAGGCCCTGGTCAGGGAGCGTGCAGGAGGCAACCAATCCATGTATTTCTCTCACATTGATGTTTCTCTGTCTTTCCCTCTCTCTCCCACTCTCTCTAAAAATCAACGGGAAAAAACAAACACACAAAAAAGATGGTAAAACCTCTGTCAGGCTGGGCCCTTGAGGACATGTACATGGAACACACCCATAGAACCATGTCATGGAAATAAGTAGCAAACTTTTATGCTATGGAGCCACTGAGATTTGGCAGTTAGCATGTTTTTAAGCATAATTCAGCTTATCTTGACTAGCATAAACCTTATTCAAAGCACATAGTTCTGCAGGGCCAAAGTCTGAATTTAAATTGAGTGATGGACTACTTAAAATTACTCTCTGGTGACTCAATGAAAAATGTGCTCCTGCAGGCTCTTAAAACTATAGTCTTAATAGATGACATGTAGGACATTTGACTTCAAGGCAGAATTATCAGTTAAATAAGGAGTTCATTACCACTATTTTTCAGAGCAGTGGTGGGCTATTTAATCCAATCAAACCCCTGGGTCTTCATTGTGTGGAGGGATGATCACACCAGCTTCACTGCTTCGTCTCTTCACACAACAAAAATCGTAAGAGACAAACTACTTTGAATCCAACACACTTTATTCTTATTTTTTTAACTTTTTTTCTTAATTTTCAGTGATCAAGTATTCAAGATGTTGTAAACCGAGGTCGATTAGTACATTGACAATAGATTTCATTCAACACAAGGAAATTATACATATTTTAAATTACCCTAAGAGGTCACCAAATAAATACTCATTTTTAAAATCGCAAAATCAGAATTCTTTATGCAACAACTCAAAACAGCCTTTCATCACAGGCATACACACCTCTACACACAAAACACACACACACGCTGAACACACACTCCATTAGGATCCTGACGCCAGCTGGTTTGACACAGTATCACATCTCCTTTAAAGAATTAGAGGCTGACCTGCCTGTTCGTGCTTCTATCGGACATTTGGGGTTTGGGGTGGAGGTATGTATTTTAAGAGAAATGCTCACTATAAAATCTTACCAATTATTCTTATTTTTCTTTTCTAGATACAAACTTTAAACTTCTTTTGTTCACCCCTTTGGTTTAACACAGTGGTTCTCAACCTTCCTAATGCCACGACCCTTTAATACACTTCCTCATGTTGTGGTGACCCTCAACCATAAAATTATTTTCGTTGCTACTTCATAACTGTAATTTTGCTACTGTTATGAATTGTAATGTAAATATCTGATATGCAGGATGTATTTTCATTGTTACAAATTGAACATAATTAAAGCATAGCGATTAATCACAAAAACAATATGTAATTATATATGTGTTTTCTGATGGTCTTAGGCGACCCCTGTGAAAGGGTCGTTTGATCCCCAAAAGGGTCGCGACCCACAGGTTGAGAACCGCTGGAACATGTCCCTTCAATTACATTGGTTTTAGTTTTTAATATTTTCTCCTTCAATTTCACATGTAATAGAATACCAGAAAAAAGACAACACCTTCCAAACCCTAGTATTAAAAACACCTTACATGGGTGTGCGTTTTTAGAGAATAAGAAAAGATTATCTGAAATATTTTTCTCCTCTCTCAGAAATTATTTTTAGCATCTGATTATTCTTGCTAAAATAAATATCAAAAGCACTGAGTTTTTATAGAAAAAAAGATTTCCCCCTTACACCCTTCATTTTTGCAACGTCAAGTTCATGGATTAAATGAAGTGACGAGAGTAATGAGTGTTTGTTTCCGGGAAGTTCAGAGTTTCAGAAGCAAAGCGCATGCAGTCCCTTATCAATGAAACACCGTGGATTCAGTGGTGTGTTTTTGTGGTGAGCATGCGTCATCAAATACTTCTAGCACCAAGGCATTTTTTTTAACGTTGCCAAAGCGAATACCCAGGGAGGGACTCCCTCTTATTTGGCCCTTCTTAGGGCTGAGTAAAAATGAAGTGCTTAAAATAACACACACAGATCGGATTCCATTGTAGCGAGAAGTCTGGGATGGACACGGCTAGCAGCATCCTGGGAGATGGGGAAAGAAGAGAACACAGAAAAGATATAAAGTGCTCAAGGCCGCTGACTTCACGGTCAGCCCTGGCACTCCCTTGGTTGGCCCGACAGAGAAATCACAAACACGTGTAAAGGCCACCAACTGGTCTGCATAACAGAGAACCGGCAAACCTGCAGAGTAGGCAATGCTGGGATTACACCGTATTGTGATGTCTACCTGCTACTGAGAATACGCAGTGTGCACCAATACATCACTAGTTATGTTCGAGTTTCTGTGCCACCGAGGATGTTCTACCAACACGCAAAATCACCAAGTAGAATTGGCCACCACCCTAGGCTTGGGCTCTCCCACGCCTCCTGGGCACACGCGAGGATTTCCACAAATGTTTCAGGTCTATTCAAACTACGAAGCTTCTCCCTGGTGCCCCTATGGCTGACACATAGCCAGCTCCCAAAGGCAATGCTCCCAAGCCCTGCAAGGAATGCAAGCTGAAACTCCGGACTGAGGAAGAGTTTCTTGGTGGGCGGTGAGAACGGAGGGCTACCCTCACCTCCGCCAGCCTCCTCCCTTCTCTGGGGCTGCACTTCCCATGCCTGCTCCTGTTTGGCACTGCACCTTCTGGCGGTCACAACAGGACGATGGTTTGGTACATTACATATAATGTTCTGTATATGTTCGCTTCACGTGTAACACTCTGTACTAGTATATGTTCATTTAAATCTTTTATTAGGGAACTTAAACCAATTTTCACCAAAAAATAAAAAATAAAAACGAATGGAAATGTTAATATCCTGAAAGAGGGGGTGGAAAAACATACACCTGAAATCCACAAAGCTCAGATTCCGTCAGTCTGAACCTCCCTTCCTCATGTTTCATTTCAGAAACTCTACTGAGACACAACGTTGCCACCAATAGTGGTTTGTTCTATATTAAATACTAGAAATACATACTTGAGGTATGTTAGGACAAAAAAAATTGAGTATAACACTTAGCTAAATCAATGTAAATTTACCTTGCAGATCGGAACATTAAATTTTAATGCTTCCCACAGACCTTTTTCTAGTTTATGCAAAGAAATAACAACTTCTCTACTCTTCAGAAACAGTAACATGTCAAAAACTAAAATGATTTACCTCACTCTCGTCTAGTCACAACTTACCTCTGTTAACCAAAACTGATATGCATTACGTCGTGTAAGAAGTGAGCCACCGCGAGAGAAGCCTGCAGCTGAGCCCTGACACACGAAATCACAAGGTAGAATTGGCTGCCACCCTGGGCTTGGGCTCTCCCACGCCTCCTGGGCACACGGGAGGGTTTCCACAAATGCCCACTCGACTGTCCTCAACCGGTCACTCCCTTTACCTCTCAGAGCCTCAGTTTTCATGATCTGTTTTAATAATAACAACAACAATAACAGAACATAGCTATCTTTCAAAGTCATTAAGAGGATTACATGAATGATGTATATTAAGTCTCTGCAAATACACCAACACTCAACAAATGCTAATTTGTGTCCTCTCTGCTCCTCCTTTCTTCCCCCACCTTGGTTCTGAATGACTTTTGACTGTTTTTCAAGAATTAAAGCCACTGATAAAGGATCAGGATTTCAAACAATGTGTTCCAACCCCCACCCACCCCCTAGGGCTTTCTAAATTAATAGGTGACAGTCAAGGATACTATATTTGCATATTAAAGCCAAATAATAGATTAATCTATAGAGTTTATGAAGGAATAAGATGACCTTTTTCCAAAGCAAGTTATTATAAGCTTAAGCTCATGGAGGGTGGCAATTAAACTTATAATAGGACTACAAAGTAACAGACAATTTATTAACAAGCATATAAGAACCTCATATACACAATTAAATGGTGTCTATAAAATAATCACTTTAGTTGACTACATAATATTTCAGTGATGCTACCAGAGCCCAAACCATTTTGGGGACAACTTTTACTTGGTACATATTCCAAGACTTCAATCCACCATGATTTTTACTACTTATTCTACACTCACCAACAACACATTAATGATACACCTGCTACTTATCAGCATCAGAGACTTAAGGCAGTACAATATTAACATTGTGATGTGCGACTCATGCTAACTTCTTTGAATTCTGGCCTAATCAAACCCAAAGGACTTCACAGAGTGGCAAATGGCAATGGGTCAAATGGTGCCCGAGAGAAAGAACTTGCACCAGTCATCAATTGATGAACTGGACAACAGTTCAAGGTCGAGAATGGAGGAGCAGCTCTCTAATTATACTGGACGACTCCATCATTCCCTATCCTGGAGTTCTGAGAGCGGCTCCTTTTCAAAGTACCCAACCAAGAAGAGAGAAACTGTAACAGTGGGGGGACATATCCTCTTAGCTACAAAAAAGTGTCATCCCACCAATATTTTCTCAGTACAGTTTCTTAATGAACAGAGGGAAATTACGGAAACACTACCTCTCTTTCCCCAACCTATCTTTAGCTCCAACACAAAAGGAAACTTTCTCTTCCAAAGGCTCAAAGATTTTCTGTAGACGGTAAGGGGGAACCTGAGGCCCCAGAGCAGACACTGGGTTAATCAGCAATATTTTCCAAAGACCTTCAATATGCACCATGTTGACTAAAGTTTGACGGACACCAGTGTATCTACAGGCAACAGTGGTTCTAAGACTTAGTCACATAAGACTGCTCAACGGGAAGTCCTTGCCACCGAGCACTGGCTCTGCCCCTTGGAGGCATTATTCAGTCCGACAGTGATAACCCTCTCTACAAACTGCATGCAACCAAGAGAACCATTTGACGGATGCCATTAGGGTAGAGAGGAAAACATCCCTGCGCCCAAAATATTCACACAACCCCATGGGGCGGCCAACGATGGAGGGCAAGACGTCTGAATCATGGGACAGTTCTGTCAATCACATTCCTTCTGAGGAAGAGTGTAAACCAGCCAAGAAACCACTTCCCAGATTAGCCCTACGTAAGCCCAGGCTCCTTGGCAAAAACAGTGATATTGGTATTTGGACCTCGCAGTCCCGCCTAAATCTGAGTTGTCAGGATTCTTTCTCTGAGCAGCCAGCTCCCACGAGTTCACTTACCATCAGTCCATAGTGCTGTCGGAGGCATCTGCCTGAAGAACCATGGAGGAGGCATTCTGGGTGGCACCTACGTCGAAGTGGTGTGCTGGGAAGGATCATGGGTAATGAACCCAAAAGAACAGACAAGTCCTCTCTGAGATCACTCCCGGGAGGTCACAGCAGGGAGGAGTCAAAGGTTGGTGTAAAATGATTGTAACCCTGATAAAGCTGGGTTCAGTAGGATAAGACCAGTTTATTTTGTATTTGTCAATCATTACTTAGGATCATATTCTAGGTCCGGCTCCCAGATCTCCCTCCTCCTGTATTCAAGGTGATTTCCATACAGGCAAGTATGGCTTTCCTGGTTTAATGACTCAATCTCAGTAGCAACCATAGCAATTTTCTGCACATAGAAAGAGAAGAATACAGATTTGCTAGTGTTTCCAGGCAGATAACTAAAATGATCGGGTGGCATTCAATCTTACATCTCTGAAATTCCTTTTCCAACTATTTTGAGTGTCAAGTTTATAATTTCTAGCTATCCTTATGTGGGTCCTTTAGAGGTAAAAGAATTTCTGCAGCAATTTTTTTTTCTTTTTTTGGATGAGAAAGCCATGAGTTTCTTTCCTTATTATGCATCTCAAATTACGGTTTCTAGCCATATTGTTTAGCACACTAGTTTTAAAGCCCCTGATGAAGGAATATTGGAGTTTATATTCAAACTATCCGATGATTTTGCAGCCTTCTTAACTACCTTATGATGGGGGCACACAGACTAAAAGAGAATGTGTTTCATGAAACGAAGTAGCTTTTCCTTTTATCACCCAATGCATATAGTTCCTTTGAAGCATTTGAAAAATCCTACCTGATTTATAAGTCTGCTGTGGCCTAAAATGCTATTAACAGTACTTTAAGGAAAGTCAAGCTTCCTCTTTTCAAAACCGTATCTGCTTTAGTCTCTGAAAGCAAAAGTAACATGCTGCACTTACATTTTCCCGATCAAATTGCATAGTTGAGGCAAGTTCATTTGTGCTTTGTAGCAGAACTCACAGTAGGTGTTCAGATCTAAAAAACCGTTGATTTGTAAATGCAAGGCCATGGTCGAGCTCACCTTTGTGTGGAGTGTATGCTAATGAGATGCACCGCCTTTACACTTCCGTGATTTGGTTAACCATGGGCCTTGGCCTTATACCCTATTGGTACACGAGCATGAAACTAACATAGCGGACAGGGTACCAAGTCTTTCGAAGCTCCTCCTTCTTGGAGCGAAGGCGGGAAGGGTTCTCAGTCTGGTTGAGGTATCCAGCCCTCAATCCACAGTGGCTGTGTAGACTGAGTTTTGTTCGTTTGAGGATTGTGTCTTTAGAGCTTAAAAAGGGGAAGAAAGAAAAGAAGGCACGGGTGTTTCTCAAGTCGCCAATATTCAACTCAACCAACACAAAAAACTAAAGTCTTCCATTTTCAAGCGTCAGGAGGGAGGCTACAGGGCAACAGGGCTCTCCTCCAGCCCCGGGTCCGGGGAGGAACTTATTGCTTCTGGGAAGGGTCCCGGGTAGGTCTGTGCTGTGCATTGGATCCCTTTTCGCAGACGAGTCTCTTCGTGGAATTCCCCCTGCGTGCCGAAAGCCGGGCAGGACCTAGTCCGGGCATACTTCTCCGCACCGTCGGGGTGGCCCACCAGCTCACTCACAGTGCCCAGGGGGAACTCCCGCCACCTCTGCCTCTGCAGCGCGTCCTCCTTGTATTTGATGGAGTACCAGGCCAGAAAAATAAAGATAAAGCCTACGAACTTGAGGCCGGCTGCCAAGCCAAAATAGACAAAGCGAAACGATGTCACATTGTACTCCCAGCAAGAGCCTTGCACTCCGCATTCTTGTTGCCAGAGCATGCAGGTGGTGTCAATAACTGCTCCAAAATAAATCGGAGTGGGAATGTATGCTGGAGGGGCGGAGGGGAAGAAAGGAGAAGAAACATATTTAGCACATCGGATAAAACAGATCCGTGAATCAGCCAAGTGCTCTGGGTGCTCGGAACCCAGGAGAGGGGAGCGGTTTTCTTGTGTTACTTGATTCTGTTAAATGTATGCCATGCCTTATAATATATTTACTATAGAAATGTTTACTAAATTGTTGATACCAGTTTGCAATTCAGTCAGAATGTGCTATTGATTTTTAGGGTCATAAAAATGTCTATTGCTAAAAATGCAATTTGGGAATCCTTTTAAACTTAAAAATCCGATTTTGTCATTAACTGCTCAAGAGGCTATAGTGGAAGTCTTTATGATCCACTAAAATTCAGTACAGTGAGTTCTTGGGTTTCAGTATTAGATGAGGTAAACATTGTCTCCCGTAAGTGAGAAATCATATTAAATGGCAACTTTATAAAGGCACTTGGGGTATGGAAATAACGAAGGCGTAAAATTCATCTCTGAAGGTCAGGAAACATCTGTGATGAGGAGTAGTAACTTCATTTGGGGGCCATTCGTTAATCCCATAAGACAGAAAGTCTACCCAAGTAGGTAGACTTCTTTCATCACACGTCACTCCCCTTGCCGAATGTGTCCCCATCCCCGACTTGTTCACCGTTCGAAGCCCACCCCTCCTTTAAATTCCTAACCCACTCAGACGCCACTACATCCCACTGCCTTTGTATATGCCTCCATTTTTCAACTATCACACGGTATTCACATTGTTTGCACATCTGTTACCTATAAGCTCCCTGATGGTGGGGGCCGTGCCTTTTATTCTTTGCCTCCCGTGGATCCTCAATAAGAGCTGATAGAAGGAAGCAATGGGAGGGTAGGAACAAGGGGGGAGGGAAGAGAGGACGGAGGGAGGGAGAGAGACAGGTGGGCTAAAAGCCCAGGGGGTTGTGGGTGATACATTTTTAAATACCTTGTGTTCATTTAAAAAGGGGTATATTTGCTATAATTAAAATTTAACATTTTTAAATACTTAAAATTTTCATTTTGCTTTGGAATTTGGGGAAATGGAAATTGGCTTGTTGGCCAAACAGTACTTTTTAAAAAAAATAATGAATAGAACTTAAGTTAAGGTTGAATTGAATAATAAAAGCCTGAAAGGTTCTCCCTCCTGCTGTTACACCGTCTGTCTGTTAACCTACCTTTACCTCCACATCCAGGTCCAATAACCCCACCTTCAGGGCATCAGAGACAGGCCAGCAAAAAGGGAGGAACTATTTTCTTTTTTCTTTTCCTATTCAACTACCCCTTTGCTAAATAAATTTCCTTCTTTGAAAATAACTTTTTAGTTTTCAAAGAGAAGCATAAGGCATACTTCTTAACTATGTCAAAGTATGGCAGAATTTCCTTTAACCAGCATGCTTTGAAAAAATGGTACCTTCAACGTCTTATTGATACCAAAAAACAAGCCACTCATTGAATACAACCAGCAAGAGGCCCGTAAGGTTCACTGGAAAGTGCTCACTCTTGGGCCATCAACCACAACATGGGACAAATAGAAAATTCCAGACAGGATTAAAATGTCAAAGGGTCCGATGATGCCATTTTAAAATGTTTCACCTTTCAAAACTGAAATAACAAATTTGAATCAGAAAAAATTTTTTTGTGTTTCTGTGGACAATGATACTGATTACGGGGGGAAATAACAGCTGTAGAAAATCAGACTTCCACTTAAGAAAGAAAATATGCCTGGTGATGAGGAAGTCAATTAAAAATACATTGAAATTGATCAAGGGAATGGACTACTTCACACGCTATTTCCCGTGCATTGTCCCAAGACATCACAGGGTGACGCTGTGTTTGGAAAAATCAGAACAATATTCTTCATGCCCAAGTGAGCTCGGCGACTTCCCACGTCAACACAGCACTAAGGAGCTCCTCTTGGTAATCAGGCAAGGGCAGTCCCTGTATGTCCATTTGGGCATCTTTTTAGAATATTTTCTTTCTTTTCCTCAGAAAACTTGATAGGTACACTCTTTGCCCAATCCAATAAAATTACTGGAATGAAGAAATGGGAATTTTCGCAAACAAAAAGAGTACCACCTTCCATCACTTTCATGCTAAAAAGCCATAAACGGACAAAAACACCAGAATCCTAAGCCCATCATGACCACTTGGTTCAATATTTCTTACAGTACAAAATTCTCCGGGGAATTTAGCCCAAGTTTATGTGCATAGTGAAAAAGGAGCTGACCTCAAGTTGCTTTGGTTTTGTTTCATCAAATGACAGAACTAGTCAGCTTTTAGTTCAAATCAGAAATTCAGGAACATGTGCCCTTACCACTAACCTGTAAATTCCTCGCTACTACAACAGCAACAAATGACTTGGCCTGCCATGTTAAAGGGCAGGGAGAATATGCCACCTGAAAAGAGGAACTAAGAGGCACACTTGGAAATGGAGGGACATACCAAGCGTTCGCAATAAAACAAATTGCATTCCCAGAGCAAAAGGTCTCTCCTCATCTTCTACGGACCTAAGGTGAAGGGAAAGAAAGAAACATATCAAAATCATGGCCATGAGAAAATGACTGTCAAATCAAACCTGCTTAGTGCAGGGCCAGGGGCCAGAGAGATGCTGCACCAAAGTGTTTAATGTTCTAGAATTATTAATAATAGCCAAGCAAGACTGCTGATGGCTAAACCAGTGAATAAAGGTGCCCCCAATGAAGACACCCAAGAAATTCCCATGTACTCTAATCGTTTCTATATTAGTACTGATGGACGGGCCACAGGGTCAGGACTGAAGGTACAGAGGTGGCTCTAACTGAGCTTCCCAAATCAGTTCTGTTAAATACAGAAAGCATTTTATCTTAATTACTACACTTATTCTCTTTGCCTGTACTTTCCTGCATGGTGTGTAGTCTGAAAATTACTCCCGTAGTTTCTCAAGGAAAAGTAGAGAGAGAAAAGTTTTACACTATACAGTCAAAAACAGCCTCAGTGGTTGAGTGTTGACCCATGAACCAAGAGGTCACCTGTTCGATTCCCAGGTCTGGGCACATGCCCGGTTTTCGGGCTAAATCCCCAGTAGGGGAGTGCAGGAGGCAGCCAATCAATGATTCTTTCTCATCGTTGATGTTTCTATCTCTCTCTCCCTCTCCTTTCCTCTCTGAAATCAATAAAAATATATCTAAATATATATGTGTGTATATATTTAACACATACACAGGGAACAAGTCAAAAATTAGAGAAATAATGAATCCTTTCCAACCACCTCATTTTTTCTTCTTTTCCTATAACTTATGCTCCAAGTAATTCCCACAGGGCAGGAAGATTTAAATCTAGTGACTTTGTAATTTTCAAAGATTAAAGGGCTCCTTTTCTGAAGTTTTGGGTTAGATGCCAACTGGTGACTTGCCATGAACACCATAAATCGGGCAGTCATTATCTGGCTGGCTGAATACCTCTTGCAGGATTAAAGGTCAAAGAATCAGATTATTTAACATCTGTAGAATTAAAGGTCAAAGAATAAGATTATGAATGACTTGTATTATTTATGCTGAAGTACCTTTGCCTTTCTATCCCATATACGTGGGTCCTAGGTAGGGAGTGTAAAATCCCCAAGGACCAGGGCACTCATCCATCTTCCCCCAACTTCTTCATTTCCTCAGAGCATTTGCCCAACGCCGCACACGTAGCTGCCACTCCATAGTGTGTGCTGCTGGAGGCACCGAGTGAATAAACCAGCAGGCCTTTGTGTGCTGTCATCTACCCTTCAAGGAAGGAATTGGCCGGGCAGCAGCTAACTCGGCATTTCATGCAGAATATGCAGGCAAGCAGCCCCAGGGCCCTGCCAAGAATGCCGTCTCTGCAGCAGCTTCCCAGCAGGGGCCCAGCAGAGTGGGGAATGGGAAAGCCAGGGAGGAGATGAAAGAAGAGTAAGGACTCGCTCCCTGTCCTGACTCCTTCATGCACCGCAGCCACAGCCCCTGAAGCTGCTGTGGTGTGTCCTGGCTTCTGCCGGCTGCCCCCTCCTTCCTGTGCCCACCACAGCCTTTACCTGCAAATACCAACCGCTGACTGGAATGTGCTAGTGTCAACATTTTGAATAGGACTTCCGTTAAGGTAACTTCCATATTCTCATAGAAGCAAAGAAGTTTCTACACGATGGCAAAGAAAGCACCGCGTGAACGGAAAAACTACTGTTTCCAGTCTGTCCTTTCCTTGCTAAACTCCAGAATGTTATATGATAGTAATAGGAATGGAGTCAGCAGTTAGAGCTGCAGGCCCAGCAGAAGCTGCCAGAGGCCCTGGAGGTGGTAGCCGTCTACAGGCTTGGGGATAATATTGTTTGCTGTAGGCAGGAGCGAGCAGCTTCCCTGCCTCCTCTGGGGCCAGGCTTCTTGCAGCGAACACAGTGGAGGCTTCCAGCTCCCCAAGGAGAACCTTTTAGTGCAGAATCTTCAGGAACCCCAGGCACCTGAAGAAGTTACACTGAACTACAGACATAGAACCCATCCGCCTAAAGAAGGTTCCAGAGAATGCAGTGTCACAACCTTCCTCCCACTTTCTGACATGGCAAAACTCACGTCTCCCAAGTTTGCCCGGCAAACAGCTGCGTGCTTTTCCTGCGCGATCTAATTTTGTTCTCCTCTGTGCGCCCGACCCGGCCCTGGATCATGTCCTCAAGCCACTAACTGGGAGCATGTAACCCAGCCGAGAAGTCGAACGCTGTTCTCACCTGAGTGTCACTATGATGGCTGATGGCTGGGCACATGCTGTGATGAAGGTGACTATGAAAAGAAAAACTAAGAACGGGAAGAGGGTGTTACAGGCCCGCTTGCACTTCCCAGACAGGGCATAGCCGTTCTCGTTGAGATAGGTTTTGACGATAACCACCCGGAGCTGACTGCGCTGCCCCACGGTGGGCGGGGTGATCACTTGCCGGCTTTGGACACAGGCACATTCCGTGTAATTCCTTATCTGAGGGACAGATAATAAAGTTCAGTCAGTTGTGTGCCAATCAAAAGCAAAATTCAGCATAGGAATGTTAAGATAAAGTTTAGTTCAAATGCTCTCTAATAACTCCAGTGAGAGAGGAAAAGAGAGAGAGAGAAACATCGATGTGAGAGCAATACATGGATTGGCTGCTTCCCATATGCACCCCGACCAGGGATCCAACCAGCAACCCAGGTATGTGCCCTCGCCAGGAATCAAACCTGCAACCTTTTGGTGCATGGGACCAAACGGAGCCACCCAGCCAGGGGGCTCCAGCCAACTGAGCACCCAGCCAGGGCAACTCCAGTGTTTTTAACCCCTAGAGTGCCGGGGAGCGCGATCGCGCTCCTCCAGTCTTTCGCCAAAAGTGCCGGGAGCGCTATCAAAGCTTTGAAATGGCGTCCAGTTCTAAGTCTGCTTTTATTAGTGATGATGATATTGCTAAATATGTCAATGTAGTAAAGGTTTCCTTAAGTTTTTGAATATATAACTTCATTTACTTGTGATTCATAATTTTTTTCCTAAACTGCTGTAAAATCAGCAAAAATGCCTTGGCAATTTTAGCATAGTTCCTAGGATATTGGCTGGCACTCAAGGGGTTAAAAATGCAAAATGTTTACTTGGAAATGTCTTCCTCATTGCTAATAGGGGTGCAAAGTGTGCATCCAACGAAACGAAAATCCACTGGTCAAAATTGTTTAAACCTCAACTTTTCTAAGAAGCTTTCTACACTCAACTCTAGGGCTTTCCTATTTTGTGCACCCATTTTTTTTGTCCTAATTAAATGCAGCGTCCATTGCTCTTTGACTCCTGGGCTCTTCACTATGAGACACCCTCAAAATCGGGAACCGAGCCTTGTTTTATTTGCTTGTTTGTTTTTAACTTTATTGTGGACACTGTGCTCACCAGAGAACAGATGAGAGGCCCAGCATTCAACCCAGCATAACCCTGAACTCAGAGTAGGACCTGAAGTAGATATCTGTTATGTAAAAACAGGTCACGCATAAGGACTTCCGTTCCAATAATTGTGCACATTGATAGCATTGGCTGTTTCATTTACTCAAGGGACTAAAAAGGTGTTTCAATGAAACAGCCAATTAAGCTCCTTGCCTATTATATGTTGCTTTTACTGAATGGAGCTGAGCCAAATTCCCTGCCACGGTGACCTCTCAGTCACTTAGAGAGGCAGTCGGAACAGATATGAAGATGGGACGCTCCGTGGCCATCGGAGCTCGAGGCCTGCTGGCCTCTTTGGAAGAATGAGGGCTGTGTACCAGGAGACTGGCTCACTCCCAGGGAAGGACTTAGCCACCAAAAGAACAGACCTCCTTGTCTCTTTCAACTTGGGGACATGCGGGCGCTCACCAATCATATAATGGGGAGCCAACAATAGGAATTCTCCATTTATTGCTCTAGTTTAAAACTCAGAAGCCAAATATGACATTCCAGAAATGTGCAGTCAATGGGAGAAGCCCTTATCACCGGCCTCCTACAATCTGTTTTTATGCGAAGAATGAAACCAGGCTCGATAAGGAGCTGAGTAGAATATGAAAACCTTTCCCCACAGCATTACAGCCTATTTATAATTCACAGGGAAGAGAATTCTCAAAATAGCCTATTCTTGAACTGACAGAAATATCTTTACTCTGAGAGCAGGGGGGGGGGGGGGG